TGTGTGTAACCGAAATTATGCCTTTGCTACCCAAAGGTACTAAATTCACTGATATAACTTTTATGTCTATATATGTATACATGATATATAACTAATATTTAGACGACATTCAGACAAATAACCGATACCCTAAGGCCACATCCAAACAAGGAAAAGGAATTAAAGCGAGCTAGCAGTCCTAATTCCTTTAAACATTACTTATATATCTATACATATATAGGCATTCATTTGACAATATAAAAGTATAAAAGAAGTTTTGTAAAACCATTGAAAAGTTTAATAAATAAGAATTGATGACTTGATGTTAGTTTATAAAACAATTTGAAAGTAGTTTGTTTGATAAGATAGTTTTAAGTATAAGAAAAATCTTTGTTTGAAACACAATTGTAACAGAGTTTGAAAGGAAACATACAGTATGTAAGACAGTTTGATAAAGAGTTTTAACATGTAAAAACGTTTGAGAAAGTCATTTGAAGTAATATGTTTGGTAAAACAGCTAAAAGTGTAGTAAATCCATTTGTATGCTAGTTACTAATCACATGTGATTGATATAATAACTAGCATGATTCAACTTGTATTCCCCCCCCCCCCCCCCATAAAATCATTTATAAACATTGAAAAACATTTAAAAGGTTAATTAAGGGTTATGAACTCACCTGTAGTGAGTGGATCGTATGGAAGTGTCGGACAAGTGCTAGGTGTCAAGTAAAGTCTTGAACACACACAATGATCCTAATAACATATGAAGACATATGTATGTATATAACTAGTGATTATAACATTAATTAGACAAGTATAAACATCCTAATGCGTGGAAAACACTTTGGTGTATTAATAAGTGAATATAAAAATATTCATATATGAATAAGTTATAAACAAAAGTAGATAGAATAACTTACTTGTTTGTTCGGAAAGTCGCATCAAACGAGATAACATCACCAAATTCAGCATAATATGCCTTCTCCAGTTCATCAGCACAAAACATCATCTTTACAATTAAACTCAAATGAGTAATTTGGATAGTGAGTTGGACGGTCATTCATTGTGTTTACTATCATTTGGGTATCTTTATAACCAATAACCCTATTAATATTTCTCTTTAAATTTTTATAGTCAACTACTTTGGGCTTTACAAACTCATACCCACCTCTCAGACTTGCCCTCAACTTATGAGCCATAGTTGGACCTATTTTTGATGTGGAAGCACGCACAATAAACTCTTTTTTTGAATATGACATTTGTCTCACTTTTTTTAAATCGCTTCTCATCTGAAGTGGATGGTTGTGAAGTTCATCAAACTGAAAAACTTTATAATCTGGAGTTCCATACACAGATTCAAATATAATCTTTGCTTGACAACCAATAGCTCTTGAATTTGAATTTCGTTTCCTCCTAACACCACTTGTACCTAATGTGTCACAAGATTTATTTTTCTGTTTACCACCACGATTACATATAACATGTTTCTTCTTTATAATCTTGTTATCAAACCTTGATTGTGTGCTCAGTCTAACATCAAAACCACCAATTTCAACATACTCAGAATACATTTTGATATCCAACTTTAATGATTTGAAGATTAAACCCATAAATGGAATAAGTTGAACAGGTACATCTGGCTTATAGACATGTTCTCCAATTATATCATCACAATATTATGCATCATGTACTGAACTTGAAGATTCACCACCTAAAATAATAATACATGAATAAAACAATAATATATATGAATACATGAAACTCATATAAATAAAACAAAAAACATTCATATATGAATACATAAAATTCATAAGTATTCAAAATAAATAAAATAAAACTAAACTTATTCATATATGAATAAAACGAAAAAAAAATAGTAAATTCGAAATTACAATTATCACACGTTTATTCATATATAAATAAGACAACAATTTATTCATATTAACATATTCATATATAAATAAATGATAATCAACAAAATTAAAAACAACAAAATAATTCAATAACTGATACCTTCAAAAAATGAGTACTCAACATCTTCTTCTTCACTCTCACTCATAGAAGAATACAAATCACCATCAATAACACTAGAATTCAACATAATACACCAAATGATCTATATAAATAAACAAAAACAATCTTAATATCGAATATATCTCACAAAAAAGTCGTAAAGATGAAAACCTGGTTAATTTCGAATATATCTCACCTCAACGTACAAAATATCTGAAAGAAACTTAAATCATATATGATCAGATGATGTAATTAAGAAATCTCTCTCAGTTCAGAGCGTAAAAACTACAATGATATATCCAATTAAAAATTAAATCATCTCCGATTTGAAATAAATATCTCAAACTACTTAACAAAAATCTGATGAAATAACTCCAATACATATTCGAAACTTGATAATCTTGATAATGAAATCCAATGAAACAACTCCAAAACGAAGATAATAAGCGTAATTCCAAACAAATTATAAAAAACAATAATCTTGATAATGAACTCCGATCTATCCGATTCAAACGATATACATACCTGATCAAATCGGAAACTGAATATGAAGTAGAAAACTGAAACATAGATGCGAAACTTCACGATTAATGGAATGAATACGTATAATTGTTAACGAGTTGTATAAAGAAAATAATCTTGATAATGAATTCCTCATATCCGATTCAAACGAGCTAAAGATATCATCAAATTAGAAACTAATAACAACGAACACGTAAGTTCTATGTAAAAAAGTTGCTAATTTACAAAGATACCCTTAATGAAAATGGACACACGCATTTTTTATTAATTTGAACATATTAGATAAATGATTGGCTAAGAATGATTTCTCCATTCTCAACATTTTTTATTTTCTCAATTGAACTTACCTCTCTCTTTCTCTCTCTCTCTCTCTCTCTCTCTCTCTCTCTCTATATATATATATATATATATATATATATATATATATATATATATATATATATAGGGTTAGGTTCATATGAGACGGCCTAATTTTGTGAGACCGTGAGACGCATTTTTTTATTTTTTTTTTGTTAATTCAAGTTCCAAAAATAATATTTAAAAAAATGAATTTTTGGATTTTTCTATTTATTTTGCATTTTAAAATAATTTTTTAGAATATGTACAGTGTAATATTCTATTAGAATATTTCACGTATTTTCCAAAAAAAATGGGATTTTTTTTATTTTTTTATTTTTTTAGTTAATTGAAGTTCTGAAAATAATATTTAAAAAAAAGTATTTTTAGATTTTTCCATTTATTTTGCGTTTTAAAATTATTTTTTAGAATATGTCAGTGTAATATTCTATTAGAATATTTCACGTGATTTTCAAAAAAAACGGGATTTTTTTATATTTTTTATTTTTTTTATTTTTATTTTTAGTTAATTCAAGTTCCGAAAATAATATTTAGAAAAAGAATTTTTGGATTTTTCCATTTATTTTGCATTTTAAAATTATTTTTATATTTGGTCTTACAGTCTCACAAAATTATTTTTGAAATTATATATATATATATATATATATATAGGGGATGGTTCACTTGAGAATAAAAAAAAAAAAAAAAAAAAAGTAAAGATTTTGAGATTAAACCTCAGCCACATATTTCGCATTTGCCGCTCTAATGCTCCAGCGTACCAGCAACAACGGTGTATGTCTAATCATAAATGATTATATGGCATAGAGGTATAATCATACATGATTATACATGTTTATACGTATATACATAATCATAAATGATTATACATATATGTCTGTTCACAGATCGAGTAATCATAAATGATTATTATAGTTAGTCACAGAAGAGGTGGTGGCGACAGAGGTGGCGGTGGTATAAGTAATGGATGTGACAATGGTGGGGTCGACTGTTGTCAGAGGTGGTGGTGGCGGTGGTAGTTACGGTGGTGGGGATGGTGGCGGAGGAGAAATGAACTAGTGATACTGTGTAATCATTTATGATTACGTCAGACCTGTCGCGCCGGTACGCCGAAGGGTCAGAGCGGCAGATGTGAAATACGTGGCTGAGGTTGAATCTCGAGATCTCTATTTTATTTTTAATCTCAACGGAACCTATATATATATATATATATATATATATATATATATATATATATATATATATATATATATATATATATATATATATATATTTTACTATCTTATAAAACAAATCCCACTATTTCTAAAAATAGATTGAATAAAATAATAATATTTTTTAAGACGTCCAAATCATTAAGCTAATTGTACAACTAATCACTAATAAAATAATATTAAAATTTAAACAAAATCCTATAAATCTTCTATTCCAAGGTTTTGATCAAATCTTTTTTCATCCAAATAAATACTCAACACCCTATAAATTGGTCGTTTCATGAATTTTCTTTATTTTTAATATGACATACTTCCTAAAACAAACTAATGATTGAATTGAAAATAATCATTCTCCATGGAAAAGAAATTAATTGTCAAAACAAACTATTTGTCGCCCGCCGATTTGCGCGGATGAACGGCTAGTGTGTGTATATGTGTGTGTGTGTGTGTGTGTGTGTGTATATATATATATATATATATATATATATATATATATATATATATATATATATATATATATATATATATATATATATAATATATAGCTCTATTTTCAGGATTACAAATATTTCCTTTCTACGGATATTCTTTGGAAGATATAATAATGATTAATGGCACATGTATTACTCGCAAATATCGCAAGTATTTTGTCAAAATATGGCTAACTCACGATGGTCAATGTCATTTGTTTTCCCTAAATGGAGGTTGGTGAGTGATATTTGCACCAAAAAAAATTATTTTAATGGATAACTCTTTAAAAAAATTAAAGTTTGGACTTTGGACTATAGTCATCAAATCAGATCCGATTTAATGGACAACTTCAGCATGCAGTTCAAACTCATAAATGCAGTAATCAATACTGATGGAGCTCAACAACCACTTCATATTTCTCACATTTTTCATGACTCATAGAATGCAAGATTTCGTGCACCATTTTCTGTCGAAACTTCTTTCTCTTGTTTTCTCAAAACCTCTTTTCATTATTGGATAAGTACTTGTTATTTTGTAGAGACAAGCCAGAGTACCACTACCGGATTTCACAAGGTATCTTTTGCTGTTGTTGCATTTGCCATAACGTTGCTCTGAATTTTTTTATTTATTTATTTTTTTTTCTGGCAAGTTTGACTTCTTGTTATGAATGATTTTCTTTACGAGTCCCATACATATACATCAATACTTGTATTGTCCATTACTGAAGGTGTTGGGTTGAAAAGTGGGTATATATATCTATATGTACAAAGTTTAGAAATTTTCCTTTATTTAACCAAGAGAAGTGAAGGTACGTAAGAGAAACTGGATTGGATTTTATAGGCTCCTGTATATGGCCTTTGTTAGAAAAGCAACCACAAATTGTTTTTAAAAGAAGCCAAATCTGGTGTGTTGAGCTACTATATATCCTTATTTATGTAAACATCACGCACAAAAGTTTGCCAAATTTGCAATTGCTAATTAGTGGTTTATTTTATCTTGTCCATGCTAAAAGTTGCTTCCTACGATGGGGCTAAACGACTTTCTGGCTCAATTAGTATGTCATGAATTCATTTAGCTTCTAAAATCAAATCCGATTAGGTATTAATTAAACTACTAATTAGTTTAACTATCTCTTGTCACAGTTATAACAAGAACTTGAAAGTTATTGAAATAAATGTATGTTTTACTTTTACATGAGATATCTTACTAACTTGTTTTTAATTATGATTATCATTTAAGACAAATATAATTGTAATGATAAATACTACAGCTGTGCAGGGCAATAACGCGTTGTTCCAATGGTTGAGCTGAATGCAAAAATCCGGCAGCATCCTGCACCACCAACACCACCACCACCACCACCACAATCACAGTTGCATAAAAAGCTTCCTAGTCCAGAGTTTCTTTCTGGTAAGTTCTCCGTATCATTCATACAACAAATCCTACCAAACAAAACCCTTGCATTGGATTTTTGTTTAATATTTAATATAATATCGGAAATTAATACTTAGATGACAGAAGAATCGACTTCAATGAAATTTGTGTTCGTCTGTGCAAAGCATCGATTAAAGGGGATTGGAAAACTGCGGAAATCATCATTCAATTGACACCAGAACTTTTATACTCTAGTATCACAGAAAGATGTGAAACAGCGCTTCATGTTGCAGCATTAGGCGAAAGCACCACTTTCGTAAACAATCTTGTGAACATGATGGAAGTCGAACACTTGCTACTTCAAACCAAAACCGGCGACACTGCCCTCTGCTTAGCAGCTGCAGCTGGAAACGTGAAAATGGCAAAAATCATGGTGGCTAAGAACAAAAACCTTCTCACAATCCGTGGTAGTGAAGGATTAGTGCCACTTTGTGTCGCTGCATTTTATGGAAACGCTGATATGGTTCGTTATCTCTACAAAAAGTCCAACAGAATGGAAGGGTCTGAATGGAAAGCCTCGACAAAGCAATGGCTTTTGTTAAAGTGCGTTGAGTTTGATCTCTTTGGTAATATATATATATATATATATATATATATATATATATATATATATATATATATATATATATATATATATATATATATATATATATATATATATATATATATATACACACAAACACACACACACCATACACACAATAAAAACATGTTTGAATAAGAGATGTTGGAATCTTTTACAGATGCTGCACTTAAAATATTGGAAAACCATTCAGACCTCGCTCAAAATGGGACTATACTCGGAGTTTTGGCTCAAAAGCCTTATGCTTTTTACGAACCACAAACACATAACATTTGGAGAATCATCAAGTCAAGTAAGTATCACTCATTTAGCTAGGTATATATATCGATCACATCGGTGCATTAAAGTTATCTATTTTGTTATAAATGGTCTTCAAATTTTTGTAATTGTATTTCGTCTAGCTACAAGTTTTATTATGTGATTTCAGGCATTTGTTTAAAGGTAGGAGCTGATGTAGGGGAAAGCCAGGCTTTGCAAGTACTAAGAATGATTTGGACGAGAGTTGTTGAAAGGCCAAAGTCTGAAGTAGATAATATACTCAGAGGTCCGGGGACTGTGATTAATGGAAGGGTGACGTATTCGTCTCATATATTGTTTGTTGCAGCAGAAATGGGTAACACTGACTTTGTACTTGAGCTCATTAGTAAATATCCTGATCTTATATGGAAGAAGAACGAAAATAAACAAAGTATATTTCACATTGCTGTGTCTCATCGTAATGAGGGTATCTACAAACTATTATATGAGATTGGATCAATGAAGGATATTATAACTCGTCTCACAGACACAGATCGCAATAATATGTTGCATTTAGTTGGTAAGAATAGAGTGAAAAATCGACTTGAGGATGTCTCAGGAGTAGCTTTTCAAATGCAACGTGAATTACAATGGTTCAAGGTAGTACACATTGTATATCTTCCATCCATATTTCGTTAATTAGCATGTTAAAGTAAGGGTGGATGACATTTATAATCTTTTGTACATTGTGTCGCAGGAGGTAGAGTCTATGATTCCTCCTTTTTATAGAAAAGAGAAGAACAATGATGGGTTAACACCACTTGAATTATTCACCAAAAGCCATAAAGATTTAGTGTCGAAAGGTGAGAAATGGATGAAAGGAACAGCTAGTCAATGCATGGTGGTTGCTGCACTTATAGCTACCATCGTGTTTGCAGTTGCTTTTACAATTCCAGGTGGTTACAACCAAAGTGATGGCTTTCCTATGTTTCGCAAAAATGGGGTCTTCATAGCGTTTGTCATAGTGGATGCCATTTCTTTAATCTTATCTTCGACTTCAATTCTTGTGTTCTTATCAATCCTCACATCTCGCTATGCTCAACAAGATTTCTTGAAATCGTTACCCAAAAAATTATTGATAGGTTTAGGAACACTTTTCCTATCAATAATGACCATGATGGTGGCTTTTAGCATCAGCTTCTTCTTGTTATATGAAGAGAAGTTAATCACGGTTGCAATTCCAATTAGCGTTTTTGCTTTTATACCTATCATTTCATATGCTACACTACATTATCATCTTTTGATGGATTCGTTTCACTCAACCATTAGTTCAAGACATCTCTTTAAACCACAGAGACGACTTTTTTCATATGAGAATCCGAGATTGTAACTTTTGTGATTGTTTTAATTTGAGCTTCGATTTACATAGTTTGATACATGTGTACTTGAGGGATATTGGATATACGTAGTTTAGAATTGTTTCTATCGTGTAATTTTTATTCCTCCCATGCACAATATCTAGCTAGTTTAGTAATTTGTTTATTAAAATCTAATTTTCTTCTTGTTTCAGTTGCATAGAATAGATATATAGTGATTATTAAATTGCTATTTTATGAGTTTCGAAAGTATAGTCACACGTACGTGTTGTCAAACATACTAAAAGTGGATACAACACAATCAAATTTACATATGCAACCAATATAACCAATCCTAAAAGTGAATATGGTTGAACACTTTTTACAAGTTCAACACCAAATGGTTTACAAAAAATTACTTAACGTAACATTGGCCTCTATTATGAATTAATAAGTATCATGCATAAAGCTTGAAATATGCATTCCATACCCATTTAAACACAAAACGTTTTCAACATAAAACACATCAACTTATATATGAGACAACAAAAGAAACATGGTATGCCAAGTTCACAAACACACTTTATTGAAATGATACATAGCTTCAAGCGTAAAATTCGTCTTAATTTTCTTCTGAAAAACATCAGAAGTAGTCTTTACTTGAGTCTGAAGAAGGTAGTGAAGGTGCATCTAACACCTTTTAGGATGACGTGGCAGTCATCCATGTAATAGCCAACGATTTTTGCGTATTTCTTTACTTCCCATGGAAGCAAAGTGACACCCGTGTAAGTCCCATCCATGAAAACCATAAGAAAGATATGATTATCAGTTTTTTCAGTAGGGAAAGGATTACAGTTGCATAACCTTTTGGTCAACACTTTTCTGACCTCACCTGGTTTGACCCTAATGATCATCCGGTATCGGTCAGGCCGGGCAGGTGGAACAAACACTCGAATTTCCATATCTACTGCTGCCCTGTTTTCAAACACGGTCACCCTGCCTCCCATTTTGCCTTAACTGTGTGTATGAGTGTGTGTGTTTGTGTGTTCATGTTTTATACTAAATCAAAGAGGACAAGTCACAATCCGTGTACAAATATTTTATCATTCACTGATGCTTACTTTTTGTTGTTTTTGTTTGTTTGTATCAATTGTGAGTTTCCAGGAATTTTCCTAGGAGAGGACCTACTTTTTATAAGTGCTTAAATAGTAGCTAAAAAAATATTCTACTATAGAGGCAAATTTTTAATTTTTAATAGTGAAGACAAATGAGTAAACTCAATTTTTATTATTGAAGTCTTTGTGCTTGAGAACTCAAAGTTCCATCTTGTAGCATTGAAGTTTGGGAAACACTTGCATAGGGTCGAATTATCAATTAAGGAAAGTGAACTCTACACTCATATCTAACAATTTGTATATGTAATATTTAAAATCGTAAGAGACCAAATGCTCGGGTGACATTAAAATCAATAATCAAAATTGGAGAATGTGAATGTGAATGAGGTGATATGATTCAAGGAGGTGGAATGATTACTCTCATAGAAGTTGTAATCAGGGAAGATGAAGCAAAAATGAACAGAATAGTTTGGATTTATGAATCAAGTTCTTCTCCTCAACATGTCACATGTGCTATACTATCAAGATCGCATTGAGCCTTTATTCATAGATCAACTTGTTGTATAATAATTTGTTTAGCATGTATGGAACACAAACAAAAAAAAAAAAAAAAGTAAGCATTTAGGTGATGTTTAAGCCTGGATATAGTTATACACTTTATACTCATGATTTCCATGTAACATATAATACAAGGCAATCATTATGTTCCAGAAAATAAACGATTTTCGATTCATATAACTATATGTGTTCATGTAATCTTATCTGAGGAAGTTGGAGATATCATTTTTCAACAATCAGTAGAAGAACATAAGATTCTATGGATTCTATCCCCAATAAGAAAATCCTACAGAAATGCAAATCATTTTCATGGGTTAAAAAACTGGAATAGATAATATCAGATGCAGAACCAATCAAGGAGATGCATAACCATACACAAACATGAAGAAATTAAATAGTATATCAATTACATTCAGGCTATTTTTATTCAACAAAACACACTACGATAAATCAATTTTCCAGATAAATATACCTTGGTCTGTTTAGATCGGGGGAAACGGCTAGACCTCTACAGATAATCTTTGTGTTCTACAGATGAAATCTGACGGAGTCAACCCAAGCCAAACCCAAAAAACCCATCTAATCTTTGCTCCGATATCTTCTGATAGCAAACGATTTTTGCGTAATATTTTGGAAATTTGTACCAATTATCGTGTAAAAGTTACAATGAAACGAGATAAAAAAAAAAAATTACGCAAAAATCATTGGCTACAGCAGTAATGGAGGCGAAGATCGGAAGAATATGGTATGGCGTGGACTGACGCCGGCAGGCTATTCACGAATTCTCCGATCGCCTCCCACCGGAAGGTTCAGATCGGCGGAGATATTAGTGAGACTGAGATGGGGTTTATAAGGCTGAATTTAGTTTTTCCGAAACTAGTCCCTGAACTATTTGTTAAATGACATATTTTGTTTTTCCAAGATTTATTTTTACAATTCCAGTATTGTTTTTGGCTACTTTGCAACAATCAACTTCCATTAATCGAAGATTAGAAAACTTTAAGGAATAAACTAGATTTATTATTATATCTATGAAATCAAAATATTTAAAATATCCATCGATCAATAAAAGATCCCAAAGTCATCAAGAGTAGATGAAAACCCACCAAATTCCAAAAAAGATAAATAAAAAAATATGAACAAAACCCAGCAATCACGATCACAATAACTTTAATATAAATACTCATAATCTTTTGTCATTTTTATGGAAGATAAGTAACCATCGTAAAAAATAGATATATTGATTCGTCTATATATTTTTTATACACATCATTGCTCCATTTTAAAAGGATACGTGCAAGCCTGTTCCCGTGGTCACCATCGAATAAACCCACACGCCATGGAAAATAAAAGTGTTGAAATACCGCAAGTAACGTTTTTTGTTACGACTATAGGTTTAAATATTACTATTATTATTTTCTTTTATCAATATTGCAGTACTTACTTCTTCTTTTATATTAAACTGATTATTTATATTAATTAATTTAATTTAAACTACAAAAATATAATATGTTTTTATGATTAAGAAAAATAAATATCTAATTGTTTAGAGTTTAAACTTGTTACAAAAAACATTTTCACATTTGTGGGTCAATCGTTAAGTGGGTCCAACCCACCTGGGCGAACTATGAGATCACATACTCCTAAAAAATCCTAATAAAAGGCTTTATAGACATGATCACATCTCCATTAAACTTTTGGAGAGAAAGATGGTGATGATGACAACCAGCTGCTGTATCAACCCACGGCCACCCACAGTTCCTCCGGCCACCACATCCATCAGTCAACCACCGTCATCCGTCAGGTATGTCAAATTAACCTACCTCCGTCGACGCATCAGCCGCCGTTGATCCAACTATAAGAACACGTGTCTTTATAAAACCCACCCTCCCAAATCTGTGCACGTTAGCACACGACACGCATCTCTTCTAACATACGCCTGCTAGACTTAAAGTTGTTTTTGTGTTGACTTTTTTGGGTTGTGTTTGTGTAGACCAAAGAAGGAGGTTTCTTGGAGGAATCAATGCGTAGTCGGAATGGCATGTGTGATAATTGGATTACAAGTGGAGGGCATAGTTGTAAATAACCATGACTACGCGGTTGCCATTGAGCCAAAGGTGGTGGCGTCCAAGATAAAAGAGAAGCGGTGGAGTGGTAAGAGAATATGTCCGGCATGGCAGTTGAATTCATTGGAGACAATTGTGCCGGAAGATCTTCCACGGCCATATCACAGGCGGAGATGGGAGGAAATTGGTGACGATCTGTCAAGAGTTGCTCCACCGGTTAAAGCTTCCCCCACCACCATCACCGCCGCCAGCAGTGCTTGTTTCTCTATGTAGATTCTTGGTCACTTAAAAATGTTACATTTTTTATATACTTTTGTAAATATCATTACAAAATACATGTTCACATCATATACTTAGATTGAAATAATATTCGACCTATTCTTACCGATACTACAAGTCTTGTTAAATTATGAAATGGACAACAAATTAATTAATAACTCGTTAAAAGAAATCATTAGGAGGCCATTTTTGAAATCGTGTGCTATCGATGGACTTAGATGTTTAGGTATCGGGTTAAGTTACTTTCCATGCATGCATGAAAATGTATTATATTCTTTGTGACATGTAAATTAAACGTGTTTTCTATGCCAAAATGTCAATATGTCAAAAATACCTTACGCTTTTTTCACAAAAGATTTGATGGATACCGTACGAATCAGTTTAAACCTATCATTAATAATTTGCTTATGTCACATCAGTTTAAACCTATCATTAATTATTTGATTATGTCACATGAAATTACACAAAACAAACATGTTTAAGAATATTTTTATAAAAGACAAATCGTTCTCCCGACATGAAATACTTGTGCATCTATGTCAATGGGGGCGCATTATCCTTTATTTACAACTGAGACTTTAATGACAGATATTTGTATGTCATATGTACCCTTTATAACACGAAATATATTTCTCTAGTAGTGGATGCAGCCGTGTAATTACATAACAAAAATTCCTATATAAATTACTATTGTTATAACAATTTGTATTTCATAAAATAATAATTACATGACTATGAATGAATCAAACTTGGTAAATTAACATTATATATGAACTCAATTGTCAGCGAAATTTGAGCCATGTTTAGTGGAAAGATATTAATTTCCATCACATGTGCTAGACAACGAAATACTACTTCTACTAAGATGGGCAGACTTCATAAATTGTCACTATATCTTGTTACTTCTAACCACATATTCAAAGATATAATATTAATTGTAAGTCACAAACATGTTTTTATAATTACTTCATACCATTAATGACAATAATGATTAATAATTAACAAATATCTTTAAAGAGAGAATATTTGGGTTGGTGAAGGGAAATAAGTCGTAGTACAAAAGCTTGTAAATTTTAAGTACATGTAGTACAAGAATAGAAGCTTCACCCCAGCCAAGAGCCAAAATCTTGGTCCACCATGAAGTTGTGGTTGTCTAGTTGATGACTCTTTTACAAGATGTTGATGCTACGTCGTTTTTTGACCCAATTACGTGTTATTCAACACAAGCTTTTAAATCACTAGTCATATTTTTGGGCATTATTCCAAAGGATTGCAAAAAAATTGATTAACTTTTGTTTGCTTGTGTTTTTCATTTTATATAGGTGGTCGTTACATGTATAATAAGGCAATATTGGTATACAATACTTTCTTTTGTATTACTTCCCTTGGTGTTAGTGTTTGTATAGCGTTATTATTAGTTTATCACTTTTCTTTTACACTTTAGGCTTAGATGTCTATAAGGCTGAGAGGAATGGTGTCGGACATGTCGGACTCCACCTTAACTCAGTAAGGAAATGGTGAGTTTTGCAGTGTTGCGGAAGAAGAGAGAATGGGAAGATATACAGTGTAGCAAGAGAGGACAAAGACATGATAGACTGTTACCGAGTTGGACTATCGACCTCGGCATGCCGAGCTGAGGCTACGATGTTTGCCAAGCTGACACAGCTCCTACTGATGCAATGTCAAGCCCACTCCGCGTGGCCTAAATACTCGGCTTAATAAGCCCACATTTATTAATTAATAAACATGTTTTACCGATAAGTTGTCTCATCACATATGAGACATGCATTATAGGGTGTTTGAGACTGTTTATTTAAAGTGTTTATTAGTGTATTATGGTTTGGCATCAACAATATGCACAAAACGTTTTAAGTGTTTGGGTTAAAAAAAAAAAAAAAAAAAAAAAAAGTTGATTTTCATAATAAGCATTTTTTACCAATTGTGTTGTTTTAACGTATTAGAGTCTTCTATTAGGGATAGAAACTAAAT